CTCTATATTCATTATCTTCTCTCTCTCTCTCTCTTCGATCGGTTCCTCACTGCTGAGGATCGTGACTCCGTCCGATTTCGTCAACCAACTGTCTTCATCGATCCCGCCCTGCAGCCCGGTGGAGTGCGTCGCTGATAGGCATTCCCAGTTCCTCCGCTATTTGGTCCGACCATCGTTTGGGACCTCTACCCCTAGGCCTTTTTCCCTCTATTTTACCGGTCACCACAAGGCGTTCCAAATTGCTGGTATCCCTACGTGCAACATGACCAAAATACCGCAATATTCTTTGTAGGCAGATTCATTATAAGTGTGGAAAATTTAATACTCCTCCGTCCACGCAATTGTCGTAAAAAGGGTACAAAGCTTTTGCTTCAATATTTTAATAATTATAGTTTCCGTGTAAAATGGTAGTCATGTGTGGATAAAACAATGTAAAAAGAAACATTATCATGATTAGGCTATCGATCTTATTATATATTTATAGCGCTCGTGCCCAAATTGATATTAGTTTTATGGTTAATTGATTGCCGCACTGTATTAATGTTTTAAGCATGAACGTATCACCTCAATATAGTGTTTTAAAAATCTTCAAACCGTTATTTAAAGTCCAAACTCTGTTCGGGTCTGTGCGTGTAAAAGTGGGCGATAATGGAATAACTAAGACAGCTAAACTCCAAAAGTTTTACAGTATATTCAACATACTGTTTGCAACAGCTGGTTATTTTTATACATCTATTGTTTATCCCGTGTGCATTCCATGTGTCGGTAATAGCGTAGCCGAAACAGCCATGGCTTTAATACAAATATATGCCGGCCACTTAATGAACTCATTCATTGTGTTCTCGAACACTTTTCTCCACAACGACAACAATGTTCAAATGTTCAAAAGTCTTTGTTCCATCGACGAGTTAATGAAGATTGCGAGGCTAGAACACCGCGACTTGAAACTGTTCATTGCTATTATATTGCTGCTATCATCTACGGTAATAATGAACGTCTATTTTCTGATTGATATGGTGATGATCTTACCAATATCAGAAAAATGGGTTCCGTTCGCTAATATTGGAGTTATGAATGAAGATTTAGAAGCTATCACCTTTGTATCAGTGCTTTATATGCTTTATGATAGAGTTAAATATATTAATCAAACAGCTTTGGACCCAGTAAATATTGCAAAACTGATAAAGGAAAGTGATGGTAAAAACGACGAGGAAACAGTATCAAGAATTTTGAAGGCTTTCAAAGAAATATCTAGAGCTTATAAAATCGTGGAGAAAACGTTTAGAGTGTTTGTTAGTATTTCAAATTTCATTAGATTAGATTATAGACAAAAAAATCTAAACAGTTCGGACCTTGGGATCTTTTCCATAGTTTCCCTAATCTCTACTTTATAATCTCCAACCATCGCTCGCATGAATCCTAAGATAGTCTTTATAGACATACATGATCCTATAACACTCTTATTCTGATTAACAACTGCCCACTATGTACACCATTGTCCTTGCAAGGCCGTGCACTCCCGAATTATGTAATGAATAATTGTCACCTCTTCCTTACACAATCAGCAGGCTGCGTCGTCAGCCACATCCACTCTTAACGTTTTAACCCACAGGGTGTGATAAAATCGAGTCGAAAAGCAAGTTGATGTTTCCTGATACTATAGTAAAAGAGTCACAGTCACAGTCGTTTTGATCGTCGTGGTCTAAAGGATAAGACGTCCGGTGCATTCGTGTTGAGCGATGCACCGGTGTTCGAATCTCAGGCGGGTACCATTTTTTCTAATGAAATACGTACTCAACAAATGTTCACACCCGCAAAATTATAATTTGCGTAATTACTGGCGGCAGGACCTCTTGTGAGTCCGCACGGGTAGGTAATACCACCTTGCCTATTTCTGCCGTGAAGCAGTAATGCGTTTCGGTTCGAAGTGTGAGGCAACCATTATAACTGTACTGAGACCTTAGTACTCATATCTCAAGGTGGGTGGCGGCATTTATGTTGTAGATGTCTATGGCCAACAGTAACCACTTAACACCAAGTAGGCTGTGAGCTCGTCCACCCATCTAAGCAATAAAAATAAAAAACTAGTAATAGTATTAACCCGTTCAGGGATAGTAATAGTATCAAACTAGTAATAGTATTCATCCGTTCAAATTTTCCTTCGCTGTGTAGAATGTAGATAGTCAAATCAAATCAAATCCAATTATTTTAACAGTCCCAATAAATGTGTTCTCTTATTGGGCTTGACACGACACGAAAATACCTACTTACAGTTCAGAAAGCGTAAATTAATCCTACTCTTTATTGCAGTTCATGTTCCTCGTGATACACATGTTTTTCTTTCAAATGCTCACAGTAGAGATACTGATTGTATTGTCAGATGTAAGTACTAGAATATTTTTTTCACTACTGACATATGGATGCTTAACTGAGTCGTATAGTTACCGTAGGCTTATGCCATTCCATCACATTAAAGAAAATAAGTGCTATTAAGACGAATCTCTACGCTTTCATATTGCCGTACTTAGATTTTGTGGGAAAGTTATCAGAAACTTCATCAACTGATCGTTTCTCATTAACTGCGAAGAAATCCAACTAAGAAAGAAATAGAATTGGCATACTTATGCACGATTAAAATATCTGTGTGTGTGTGTGTGTTTTTTTAATTCTAGAATCTGTCTTGGGGGACGTTCATGTCAAAAAATTTAATCGGAGTCAAATTCATTGCTCGAATCATGCTGATCAGTGTCTGCGTCAGTTACTTAGAAAGGGAATTACAGAAGACAAAAGGACTCTGCAATCTTGCCGTACGAAATTGTGAGAATGGTAAATCCTGTAGTAAAGTAGTTTAGAGGCTGGGTCGAAGATTGCAGCTTGCCTTGCACTACTGTGGATGGCTTCTTCCATCTATCCCTGTGTTCCATTTATAGCCCCTAAAGCAAAAAATAAAAAAATTATTACAGCCTTAATGTATGCGGAAAACAATATTAATTTACGAAACACAGCATAATTACAATGTTTAAGTTTTAAGTAATGTTCAAGTAAGTTTATAGATGGAAAGGTTCGTTGTATAAGTAGTAAGTAGTTATACGCTTGGTAAGAATTGAGATTTAATATTTTTTTTCTTTTTTCCAGATATAGTTCGTTGTCAGTTGAAAAATATTTACCGTACAATAGACACAGAAATTGAACCTATGACGGTGTTTGGTTTATTTTACATCAACAATGTGCCTTTAGACCTGATCTCACTTACCGCTACTTACACCGTCGTCTTGTTACAGTTCGCTTTTCTGTAAAAAATCCCCGAGAGAAAAACAGGTATTAACTTATAATTATTATATAAAAAACTGATATATAACTCGATTGTGTATTTCATTGAATCAAATGTATAGTTTAGGTTTTATGGCTATAATTAAAACTGTTTTTACGTTAATTACATTAATTTCATTAATTGTTAATTATTTCCGATGCTTAAGATATTTTACGCAGGGCTATTTAAATACAAAAAAAAACAATTTAAACAGAGACGATGGTTGGTGTTTATCTAACATTTGGCATTCTCATTTACATTTTCTTAGTGTGACAATTAATTTCCTGCGATCCCTTTGTTGCCAGTCTCAACTTTATATTCAAAAACTATATAGTACATGTATATTTTAGATGAGAAATGATAAAATGTGAAATTAAATTAAACCAGGTGAGATGAGAGAAAATAAAGTTTATATATTTGTGCGCTTTTACAGATACGAAATGGCTAGTAAACCACTGCTATTACACGATTAAACCTGAAGAAGTACTAAATTAAGAAAATAACACAATTTACACAGCTTCACTCGTCACCTTGCGGATGGAACCACGTATCATTTTAAAGAATTTTTATTAACTAACTAGCTGCCCTGGCAGCCATCGTAGAGCCTCAATCAATAAATAAAAGACCTAAACTTTTGTATAAAATAAACTTAAAACAAACAAAAGGAATCCGTCCGACGGGGAACGCATGAAAGGAAAAACAAAATTGTTATAATATTTTTATGTATTATAATTCCAATATAATTCCAATAGATCAAAATTAGCCAAATCGATCCAGCCGTTCTCGAGTTTTAGGGAGACTAACGAACAGCAATTCATTTTTATATATATAGATTTCAAAATGTATAAATTATAAAAAAAAATAGTAATTGTATTTCGGGAAATTCGAGGTTGCTCGTTTGATAAAAGAAACCATGGAACATACTTCGTCTGTTTTATATATTTTTGCCTTATAATATTCCGACTCGTTATTTCGAAAATCATATTCTTATTGTCTAGAATAAATCGATTAATACACCTTCTAGTGGCTTCTAGTAACCTTTCCTTGCGATTGTTAAAGGAGCTTACATAAAACACAATAAAGTGAAGCAGCTAATGATCAAAGTGCAGTCCTTCCCCGCGTTACAAACGCACGAACTAGCAAAAAGCCGACCGTCGAATAAACATGCCGGCTACTGACCAGACGTGCATCAAATACACCGACTCACTTAAATTTGGATACGGTATTTGATCACCATTATCTATATGTCACAGTCCAGTAAGTAGTGAGAAAAATTTGTAACCCGCTCGTGATTTTTACGCTATAACTGGACCTATAATTCTAAGAACATGTCGCTAATCTAAAAAACGATTAAAGGCGCTTTTAAGGTTTAACCTAATGGTCGGAAATAGTTTTTTTTTCAATTTACAAATTCTGACCTTTTGATATTTTAGTTTTAATGGCTACATTTTCATCAATACTTTGAAATACTTAATCTTATAAGAATAACTAAGATTATATTTGTTTACACCATATTCCTCATATTGCATAATATGATGTCATGTTTTCGAACACACATAATCTCACAGTATCTGACTCGAACATGATTCTGTAATCAGATAACTATCATCTTAAGATAACTGCATCCTATAAATTGCAGTCAGTCAAAATATCAGCTACGTTTGAAGAAGTAAAAACAGGAAATTTAAAAATGAAACTCCTACAGTTTTCTTACAAAAACAGTGATGAAATCCGAGCGGGTTTCTTAGATGGCGATAATGTTGTGGATATCAATAAAGAAGATCCAAAATTACCATCAACGTTAATTGAGCTCCTCAAAACGAATTCCATTTCCAAAGTGAAAAAAATTAGCGCCAAATCACCAGTGCCTTTATCCGGTATCACACTGAAAGCTCCGATACATGGAAATGATAAAGTACTATGCGTGGGATTGAATTACAAAGATCACTGTGAAGAGCAGAAATTGACGCCTCCAGAACTTCCTTTTATATTCAACAAATTTCCTAGTACTGTTGTGGGACCAAACGACACCATCAAGTTAAAAACGGATGTAAGTAAAGCTGTGGTCTGCGAGATAGAACTGACGGTTGTAATCGGGAAGAAAGCCAGTAAAGTAGATTCATCAAATGCTTTTGATTATGTCCTTGGCTACACAATCGCCCAAGATATCGGCGCTACAGACTGGGAGAAGAACAAGAAAATCAGTCAATTGCTGTTGGGTAAAGCAATGGACACCTTCTGCCCAATTGGACCTTGGATAGTTACCAGCGATGAGATCGGAAATCCCCAGAATTTGAATGTTAAGTGCAGCATTAATGGCGTTCAGAAACAGAAGAGTAATACAAACCAATTTATCCACAAAATCCCGGATATTATTGCAAGATTATCAAATGTTATGACTCTTTTGCCAGGAGACATCATTTTGACCGGGACTCCTGGCGGTGTTGGTGTATACAGGAACCCCCCAGAGTTTCTTCAAGCCGGTGACGTGATCACGAGTGAAATAGAGAACATTGGTACTTTTGAAACAAGAGTCGAAGAATTTTAATTTCAATATCGTTTAATTGGACAAGCATTTTTATGAACGGTTCTTGTATTTTAATCATAAATAAAATATGATCATAAGATGTGTACTCATTTATTTTTTCGCACGTTCATATAACTTTAAATCGTATATAATATCGATTTATTATATACGAGTAGGTTACGTTGTGATATTTTTGTGTTGCAGTTTTGTGAGAATTCAGACGATCAGTTACTGTTAAGTTTGCTACAAATATTACTCAACCTCTCACATACCACATCCAAAAATAATATTTCTAACGTCGACGGACATTTCGCGATTCCGAAATTAGTTACGTTTTGTGTATTCAGAACGCGCGGTGTTGGTTTTTTCGCTTCTGTGGCGGGCGCGTCCGTGCGTTCGTCTGCGGCGGGGAACGTTTAGCTGACGTGTGCGTGTCTACCTTATATAAGCTTCATTGGAATCGGTAAATACAAAGATCAATACCTTTAGGATTTGTATTAGAAAAAGGCTTCGCTTGTTATGAGAATGAAAGGCGAACATTTTGTAAATTGGCGTAAGTATTGATGGTAAGCCGCGACGGATACCTATCGACGCCGCGACGCTTGAAAGGCAAACGTGACTAAGCGACAATGCGTGAACTTTACAGTAGACTAATTTAAAGTTGAAATAAAAAATTCTATTTTAACGAATCTAGCTGTAGGATTGAAATGATTTTAATAGACCTAGAAATATATTTTTTTTTGCGCATCGAGTATGGTTATTGCCTATCATTTATGTATAAAGCCGTCATTGTCGTTTAGTCACGTTTGCCTTTCAAGCGTCGCTATCACAAGTTTCACTAGCTCATCATAGATGATTTTGACGTTTTGACGTAGACGTCAAAATAAAAGTTGATTATGCGCAGCGACGTTACATAAGCCTTTTCACAATGCAGAAAATCAGTTACCAAGCTATCAGAAATTAAATTTTACCGTGAGTTTTATGTGGTACCAAGAAGGTCGGTACAATTTTAGTTGCCAGCTGTAATAATTATTTTTTTATTGCCATACCCCCGTTCGCAGTCTCGTTCTATCAGTGTGCTTAGTGCGAGTTTTTTAACTTTCTCGATGCCGTAAAGTGAATTCAAATTTGTTCGTAGTTGAAACAACGCCCCTAGTGGCAAACGTGGGTAAACATTCCAACTCAATACAAATTTGAGTAAACTTTTACGCTATCGAGAACGTTAAAAAGCTCACGCTAAGCACACAGGAGACGGTAGCCTTAGGCGAATTAGTAAAGCTATATACCACAATCCTCAGAATATGCTGCATGGGTTCACTGGTGCGTAACTTAGGACATTTCTGTGGGTGGGGTGTTTATTTATTGGTAGTACCCAAGTGAATATTACAGTCAATGCAATATGAATCCGGCCGCCCAACTTGAGGCCTGAGATCCAAGTCTCAATAACACCGCATAACACTGCCCCATCCTCCAAATCGGAACTATGGCTTGCTTAGTGGCAAAAATATGCAGTATGCCGTCACCTACCATCGCGGACTCACAATCTACGCTATAATAATAAAGAAATTTCAATAATCAAACAAGCAATTTTTTAACAAAATATTTATTTCTATTACACCAACAATAAATTAATTGTCCAACAAAACACATCAGGGGACCCGTTACAAAATGGAACTGATGATACGATAATGAATATATAGATTTAGATGTAGTACGTAGGAACATGCTTCACGAGCGGGGTCGTTGACCTATAATTTTGTACGATATAGATTACGCAGTTGGGTTTTGGTAATACCAATTTTACTTGAGTTAAGAAATTAATATTGTCTCGCTCATGTTCTGAGAGCATCCTTCCGCTCCGTGCAAAGAATAGCAACGTAATTAAATAGAGATTCAACATTGCGGGAAACCGAATAATATTTAGTTGAGAAAGAGAAACGTGTGAGAAGGACGGAGACAGTAAGACAGAGAGAGAGAGAAGATTGCAAAAGAAAAACGTGACCCCTTCGACTTATTTACTTCATTCGTTTGACTTTAAATTTGTCTCACAGTACTTTAACTATTAATATCTATGTATTTACCTACATACAGAAGTTTTTAAATAAATTATGATTTAAATAAATACATGTCAGTGATGTTCTGTTCAAACAACTTGTGACTAACTTCGACTAGACATTTGTCCCTTTCACCCGACTTCAATATTACGGGAAGAGAGTTGATCTTTTAAATTTGTTGTAAAGTTTATTGAAGTTTAAATAAAACTTGAAAAATAAAGCCTTAAGAAAACTAGTTTCTGAGTATTGCACGCCGCCGTAACAAAATTCATAAATATTATTATGTGTGAAGTATTTTGTATTAAATTATTAATAAGAACTAGGCTAGGCCATTTAACAATCTAATTATTTAACGAGAACATGATTCTGTACGCTTTGAAATTCACGTTTGCATGTGCAGACTATACTGTCATCTTGAAGATGATCAAAATTTTAAGCAGCAAATATTTACATATATCATGTGTAATGTAAAAGAAAAAGTGGTGCAGTCCTGGGGCCACCGCGACGTGACAAACAAAAAACTTCTACAATCACGACCAGTCATTACTTTGATTCCATAAAAATGATAATTAGTTTTAATAATAAAAAAAACATGAATAGCACTAAATACTAAATTCATTCTAAAATTGTGATTGCTATTTGACTAAGCTATTGGGCCCGGAGCCGCGACGCTGGGGGACCGGGGGGACCGGGGGGGGAGAGGCGGACCGGGGGGGCCGCTCTGCAGTAGCTATGGGTATAGCAGTTACGCTAACCACATCTCTAATGAAAATTAGTTTAGAGTATCAAGGCCAGCCTTCTGCCCGTCATTGCGAGTTGACCTTCCTGTCCCGCAGCACGGCGCTGATGAAGAACTCTCCGGCCCTGTAGGACGAGCGCACCAGGGCTCCGCTGGCCACGTACAGGAAGCCGAGCTGGCGGCCGCGCGCCTCCCACTGCTGGAACCGGGCGGGGGTCACGTACTCGAACACCTTGAGGTGCTTCTTCGTGGGCTGCATGTACTGGCCCAGCGTCACGCAATCCACTCCCGCCTCGCGTAGATCTGATCCAACAAAATATTATTTGCATATTAATATATTACTAGTGGTCGCCCGGTAGTCGAAATTCGACTATAATTAATTGAAATTTTAAGTTTGTACACTATTATGATTCTATTGTGAAAGCTTATTTATTATACTTCTATAATCACAGATTTCGCCAAGACTACACTTTAGAAAAATATTATATTTAATACAATATTTAATCTATTCTCAATTTGACCACAGATTATTTAGCAATAAGAAAAGTTTGACAATAAACAAATACACAATGTGTGTGTCAAATACATGGTAGTGTGTGTAATGTCTTTTTCATTGATTTAAAGTTTCTTCTACGCAAAAAAAAAATAGCATTCTGCACTTCTTCTCTATATTCTCTATAAGTGTGGGAATCCTCATACTCCTCCGTCCGAGCATTTTTCGTAAAAAGAGGTACAAATTTTTTGCTTCACGTATTGATATATAGATTAAATCTATTGTTTTGTCAATTACACATTATAATTTATAGTCGGATTTTTTATTAGACGAAGTCAACTGACGTTTACTGTGTTGTCAGTTTTTGATAAAATAAAAATAATGTTGTGACAAAGTGAACGATTGAAAAAACTCCTGAATTAATGAAATTGCCTTGATTGTCTAGTGAATAGTTGCTGTGCCGAATTGCCGATATCGGGTACGGGATTCGAATTTTAGGCGTGCTTTGTACATACCAACGAGTTTTCGACGAAATATTATGTTCCTATAGTATCTACCTGTACTGAATACCGAGTGTTTTAAACATTAAGAAAAACATTGCGAGTAAGCTTGTAAGACTGTCCTATTTCCAATACATCATATAGTTGAAATTATAGATGTATAAAATATAATAATTATAGATATGTAATGAAAATAAAAAAAACTGATTGTAGTTACATACTACTAGTAACATATATTGCAGCACTTTAATACAATTTTATTGTAAAATATAAATAATATTCTTTTATAGTTTGAAATTAATGATTAACTCTTCACACTCATTGTTCATTCATGTGATTGAACGAGAATTCAAATTCAAATTCAAATTCAAAATCATTTATTTCAACTTGGATGTCATCAAAAACACACTTGTTGAATGTCAAAATGTAAAAGAAAATGTTAACTCTACCACCGGTTCCAAAAAAGCCTGAGAAGAACCGGCGAAACAAACTCAGCGGGCTTTTTTTTTTTTTTTGTATTTTCTCAACTATTATCTTCTTTTTTTTATTTTTTTTAAACAAGAAAACATATTTACAGTATACAAAAAGACAAGTAAAAAAAATACAATTCAAATAAATAATAATAATAATGAAAAATGAAAAGGCCAGGAGCGAACGCCTCATTCCCACGTAGTGCCATCTAGTAAAAAATCCTTAACTTTATAATATGCCTTGTTGCACAAACGTTCCTTGACAGTTTTCTTAAATCTATGAACAGGTAGTAGTTGAACGTTTTGTGGGATCTTGTTGAAAAG